GAATCGGACACTTGGTATTGGGAGTGTTTTTGGAAAAAATGAGTAGAGACCGGTTTTTCCAACTGCGATCCTGTTTGCATTTAGTGAACAATTTAGATAAATCACAGAATTGTGTAGACACGCTTTACAAAGTCCGGCCTCTAATAAATTCGATAATAAACAGGTGCCACCAACTAAATCTCGAAGAAAACCTCTGTATAGATGAGCAGATAATTCCATTTAAAGGAAATGTATCTATCACGCAATACATAAACCTTATGACCTGGTAGTGTATCAAGGTAAAACTACAGGTCTTAACGATGAAAACTTGAAAAAATATGGACTTGGTACCAGTGTAGGAGGACATAAATTGTAATATGACTACTATTTCTCTTCATATGATCTGCTGAAGGTTCTGAAAGAAAAACAAATATATGCAACGGGAACAATACGAATGAATCGATTTCTTAAGCCTGATTTACTGTCTGACAAAGAAATAAATAAGAAAGAAAGAGGTTTTTCAGATGAATCAATTAGCGAAGATGAAATTGTAGCCGTGAAATGGTTGGACAACAAATCAGTATTCCTTGCATCAAATTTTATTGGAAAGGGCAAGGAAGATAAAGTGAAACGATGGAATAAAAAAGAGTCGAAATATATTGAAATAGATAGACCGAAAATAATTAAGAATTACAATTACAGTATGGGACGAGTAGATTTATTGGATCAGCTGATTAGCCTCTATCGCATTTTTATCGGCTCCAGAAAATGCAAAAAATGCGGCTATCCTAAAAAATAAATTTTGGATTTGCTGTCGTTCAGAATGCGCGTGGCGGATGGCTTGATATTAGTTGGCAAGACTGTTAACAAAATCAAAAGAGGAAGGCCATCTAATTCGCCTACACCTCATCCATCATCACCCATTTTTAGACGAGGAGAAAAACGACCAATTGAGGATGTTCAGTGTGACAGAGTTGATCACATGCCTAACTATGACGATAAAAAAGAAGCAACAAAGTGCAAGTTTCAGAGCTGCAAAGGCAAGACCCATGTTTTTTGTGACAAATGTAAGGCTCATTTATGTTTTATAAAAGATAGAAACTGTTTTATGAATTTCCATAAGAAATAAAAGTTAATTTTGTATTGTATCCGTATGCTGTTTTATAAATAAAAGTTAATTTTGCATTGTATCTGTATACTGTTTTATGACACCCCAGTCTATTTGTTCACTCTAGTGGACATCCTGAAATACTGTAAGAATAAAAACAAAAATTGTTTTCATGTTTGCTTATCCTAATAATACACTAAAACACTTAAATTACTAAAACAAAATCGAGATTCTCGATATTTCCACAGTTTATTTATAATACTTTTTAAACTGGCTTTATCTATCATTTTATATACTTTAAAATATATGTTCACGCCCTACTTTGTACTTTATTAACAATTTTTTTAACATACTTCAAAATGAGAGGATATTCTCAATTCGTTGAAATATTTTTTTATGTATGTTGAGCGATAATTCTTTACCACGTTGCCCGATTTCTAATATTCTCTTTTTGTTAGAAAATGAATAGTTAGTCAAGAACTGAAGATGGGATCCATGAAAAAATCATTAACATCTTCATTTTTAAAGGTTTTCTAAAATTTCTTTAAACCGTACTGGTTCGCACGCGGTAAGGAATGAAGAAATGTAAATAATTGTTGTGCCAGCCAAAAAGCGAAGAGGAAGTTACGATTAAAATATTGAGTGACAAAAGAGTTTTTAAGTTCGTTAAGATCGGGTTTATGTTTTAAAATGCATTAAAATCCGCATTTGAAAGTATACCATGCCAACTCCGCCAGTGACGTCACAAATGTTAAGTAAAGGTACAATTTAATAGGGTTAATTTTCAGTTTCTACATTTGAAAATATACCCGAGACCCACTTGGCCAGTGACGCCATAAATGTTAGGTAAAGGTACAATTTAATAGGGTTCATTTTAAAATTCTTTAATTTAAATTATACCCGACTGAAACACAATAAGCAACATTTCATGTTCCTTTGGTATCAGGAATAATAGAAGTGGCATCTCATTTAAATAAAAACGGAAATAACAGAACTGACAGAATATTTTAAATGCAAAGATCATAGCCTGTTTACTATTTTTAACAATTTTTAACAAAAAATCATTCAGTGTTTTGTCAGATACCGATAATGTCTCCCCGTCGCTGGGCAGCCTCTATATAAATATACAGCTCTCTATTTACATAACTGTAAACCTTAGGTAGGGTTAGATTTCCAGACATAAATCTTGTAATAAATATAACAGCTGCTAAATACATTGATTACATTTTCATTAGCCAATGTAAAATTGTATTTTAGGATTAAACTTAACACGACACAAAACTAAAAATAAAATGCCTCTTCTGCGGATCCTGCGCCTTATTGATTATTATAAGAATCTCGCTGTGTTAGTGTTACGAATGCGTCCCAATGTCAGAGAACGAGGGCGGTCACAAACCGTCCGTCCGTACGGCTAAGAAAGTGAAATGTAGTAACAATTGAAAGTCATTATTAGATCAGCCTAGTATCCTAGTATCGGTTAGCTAGAGCCGGTGATTCTGGTGTAGCGGGTGTGGTCCGTGCACCACTTCACTGCCTGCGCTTTTTCAGATAAAAATACCTCCCGTTCTAATGTTTTTATTTCGTCAATAATGAATTAAAAAAAACGTTGTGTAACTGAATGAATTCGACGAATAGAAGTAGATAAATGATATGTTCCTGGTCACGCATTTTATTTACAATATGGGATAGTGAGACCACACGTTGCGAATAATAATTATTTTGTAATAATTTTTTTTATTATTTATACGTATGACATTAGAATAATGGAAATACCTAAAAACATTATTCATCAATTTCAGGAAAAACTTTTAAAATGTATACCGTCCTATATGTGTCTGATGCAGGAAATAAAACAAAATCACTGTAAAGGTCTAATTTTTTCAATCAATACATCAATTTTATTATAAATAAATACAGAAGCGACTAGTTTTGGGCCTCACAGGGTCACATTCGGGCCTGTAATAAAATAAATGTGACTATCATTCATGAATACTGAAATGTTTTCTAAGTGGTTAAAAGAAAAATTATTATCTAGTCTTTTTTTTGTGTGTCATCGGCTTCAACTACCAGGGTTATTTCGCCTCGTGTTCTATGTAGGCTTTGTTACCGTTTCCCAGCGCCACTTTAGAAACAGCACTGTTAATTAGAACCCAACAGTGAATGGTCGAGTGGGGAATCCTACCAAGGCATCAGAATTAATTTTAAATAAAAAAACCTTCTGTAATAGTTTTAAATAAAATGCCACTTACCACTCGAAAGTTGAGAATAAGCATCCAAATACATCTTGTAAAATCGAAAATATTAAAAACTGTTAAATAAAAGAACTAATAGATTTTCCCCCATACGTTTTAATATCAGAATTATTAGAAATTTGTAAAAAAAAATGAAAATTCCAAGTTTTACATAGTGCATATAATTATTCATGAATATGGTAAGCAGGAACACTTACCATCCACTGTGAGTTTAACCTCAATGAGAACAAATGGGGTATTTGCAAACAATTCTACGATAATTGCATAGGTATAAATGGCCACAGTGATGAAGCCGTAAGAAACATGTGGAGTAAAGCTCCAAATGTTACTACAGCAGAAATTTTTGTCCAAAAAACAGAAAAATAATTTCCGATTGGTAGAATGATATAAACACAAATATAATTCATTTTGATGACAAAAGCGACTTATCAAATTCAGAAGAATAAAATATAAAATAAGCCCTACTTTCAGCTGGGAAATAATTAATTTTTTTATAATTTTAACTCATTTGTTTAATAGTTTGTTTATATAAATAAAATAAATAGAATGATAACTTTTACAAAAAAAAAAAAATTATCTCTAGTGGATCTATAGTTTAATACCGGATCTGCAGTGGTATTCTCATCTTTTAATGCAGCAAATGTCAATACGCCTATCTTCGTTCGACATACTAAAATTCTTATTTAATGTCTCTCTCTATTCAACAAGTAACGTGTCGAGTTCGCACATAAGAATATTTATGCAGAACGGTACTTTTGAGTGGCTAATGTCAAAAATACAACGATGTGAAATTGTACAACTAATAACTTACGCGTTATTAGCCGTAAATGAAAATATATTGCAAATTAGTCATATATTAACTGAAAGTCGTAAATTTGATTAAAAATAAAGCAGAAGAATTTGCTAAATTATGATATTAAAAAGTGGGTTTTATTAGGCATTGCAACGACCTGTCAAAATGCTGACAAGTGGGAAATGACAGGGTCAATGATTATTTATCATTATATGGATTGCTCAAAGCGGGTCATTTGCGAGTGGCCATATTGCTTTACAAGTGCTCATTAACAGAATCGGTTTACCAAAAATGTGTTTACAAACCAATTTTCAGCCTTTGAATAATATAGTAAAAAAAATAATTACCTATATTTTTATTTCAAAGCATTTGTTTTGAAAAACATGGATGATCAATCTATATAACTATCTATTTCATTGACCCTGTCAAATCTCCAGGCCTACAGGGTTGCCATAATGGTGCCATATTATAACCTGTCAAAACCCACTGGTCGCCATTTTGTTTGGAATGCCTAATTGTGGATGTAAGTGCCCACAAGGTAAAGACCACAAAAAATAAAAAGAGGCTGGTCATCATATTATTAATATCAATCTAGGACTCACTCTTATGGTAGTTGTCATGTTTTTAAGCTATGTAAGAAAATAATTAAATGTATATAATCATCAAAAACAGGCAGTAGCCTTTCGCTCCCAGTCTCATTCTGAATTATGAAAAAAAGACTAACAGGAATAAGTAATTCGCAATTTACAAATAATTCATTATTTATTGAATATCGGTGTAGTATACTAAATAAATATACCTATTTTATATAACATTTAGAATAGAAATGTTTTTATCAAAATAACATTATTTTTCTCTTTGTTTTCAGTTGGCTGTGCTAACTCTAGTGGCTGTATCATTTGCTCAAGACGATTACTATGACGATGAACCTCAACCTCCGCCTAGAGCCAGACCTGCACCTGCTAGAGTACAGCCTGGTTACTCAGGACCGGCTGCACCCAGACCGACACCGGTAGCGATTCTAAAACAGATCAATAGGTAATTTATTCTCCTAGGTACTTGTATGTATTGTATTGACAGCTGACAGATATTTGAAAACTAGAACAAATTCAAAGAACAGCATGTCTCAACATAACAGGAGACATGAAAACCACACCAACCACATACATGAAAGTCATTCTTAGTCTCACTCCTCTTGATATTTACATCAAGGAGGTTGCTCTAGGCGACAGTAAAAACCGCGGAAACCTCGGAAGCGCTCGGCACTTTGCGGAGACGGTCGTTAGATAGAGTTTGGCGGAAAGTTTGAATGTTTGATTTTTACAGATTTCACGTCAAAAAAATAGAACCTAACCTCAAATTTCAACGGCCGTTTGGTTATATTACTTTCAGTTTATTTGCACTTATTTACGTGGAAACAATTTCTCGATGTTTTTGTGTAATTTCGATACTTTTCATAAGGAAAAAAATGTTATATTAAGTGTGTACTATGTGCACTAAGAGAACCATACAGTTTATTGGTTACAATAATTGTAATTGATGGTACAGTTCGGTCAGAAAATATATGCTTTGAATCAGCTATCAAATTATATTTATATTTAAAATCCTTTATTTACACTTTTCATTAAACCCGCAATTTTAATTACAACCCATAAGAAGAAACTTCAAGAAACTTATGGGTAAAAATTACTTTTTTCAACAACAAAAAAAACAATACAATAATTATCAGCCAGTTCCATTTTCGATGTAATTGAGAGATTTTTTAGGAAGTTCATCAAAAATAAAAGACACACTATACATACATAGGCATATATATTTCATTTAGATAAACCTAGAATAAATAAATATAAATACATACATCTAATTAAAACCTAAACCATAATATAAATATATATTTACAATAATTTTTTTATTTAGGACAAAAGCAAGCCCTGTCACCATTGCCACACCATAGAAAAAAGACATCAAAAGCTCTCACCATTACAATTCCTTTTTTTTAAGAAAAAAATTGCGTGCTTTTCCGCTTTCCTTTTCTGTATCGCTGATCTATTACTTGTTCCCTTAATAAACTATATTTGCCTGTACACCTTATATAAAAGTACCAACATAATTTTTAGCTGCATACATGGAAAAATGGTTCCATTACTTATTATACGTCTCATCATTCAGGGATCTTAAAAAATTGAGTTTCAATTTTTACCTCTTACTTTGCTTCTCTAGCTATTGTAGTTGAATATTGATCTTCAGATTTCTTCTCTCTATTAAGTTTTTAATGTCTTCACTTATGCCCACCTTTAAAATATCTGGTAGCTTTTCCTCATACGAAATGTACGTGTTTACACACGGTAGTTTTTATAGCATACTCTATACGCAGTCACTTTTATAGCGATGAACACATACCTTACATATTATACAATATTAAGTCCTGCATTCTGTCTGACATAATTCTTTATAAAATATTTTGTAAAAATTGTCATCTGTAGAAGGCTTTACCTGAAATTCTCCAAATCCTATCTCTTGTACTTCAAACATTGTTTGTTTTTATTGTTTCTGCAAGATGTGCTTTAATCATATATCATCTATAAAAAGCAAATAATTATATAATGAAATATTAGATATTAAAATTAAAATGAAGTGGATATGTTGGTTAAAATTAGCAAACCTTCAGAATCCTTTGCCAAATTTTTCCATCTACCAAATTTTCAATTTCTTACATTTGGTTTTAGCTTCAGCTGAATTGTGTTAAGTAAATTGTTTAAACTTTCCAGTACCATATTTATATTAATACCTGCATTTAATCTATAACAATGTACTCACACTATAGTTTTTTAAAAGTTGCACAAACCGAGCTCAAGATGATTCTCATAGCAGCAAAAGAAATCACCAGAAATAATATCACTGGAAGGAACATGCTCATCTATACAGATAGCAGACAAGCACTACTCACTCTGTACAGACCACAAATTTATTCAGGGTTAGTACTAGAATGTCACGAAGCTTTGGCCGAAGTATCCATCAACAATGTGGTCAACCAAATACCAAATACTTTTTGGACCTAGCCCTTCCATTGAACTGACAACATCGGTATTGATATTTTTAATTAAAGAACATTTCCTTGTGAAATTTAAGGAAAGATGGGATGAAACAAAAAGCTGTAGACTTGCCAAGGAGCTTTTAAGTTATCCTGGCAAAACTACAGAATCTGCGCCTGAAAACAGGCATTCTGACTGGACATTGCCAACTACTTCATATCATGGGGCTGTCAAAATATGCACTCTGTAGGGGTACGTACAAAAAGATGAGACCATATCCTTTACGATTGCCCGACGCATTCATTAATTAGAAGATTTGTGTTTGGTAATAATTGGCCGATATAAGAGAAGCACCTCTTGGCTACGTTGTCAACTACTTTAAATCTGTAGGCTGGCTTACGGGCTAGGTGTCTATCTACTTAGGAGGATGCACAACGGGCCTAGTGAGGCCTAAGTGCCGTGAGTTAACCCACCCTCCACACGTTACAGATATAGATACAGATTGTATGTATTGTAATATTATTAATTAGTGTTGATGACATGAATCGTGATATAGACAATATAGGTACTTTAGTGTCAAATATACACCTACTTTTTATGAACATTTTAATCAACATTATTAAGAACATTTTTATGAATTTTTTTATGAACACTTTTGTGATCATTTTTATGACCATTTTTATGAACATTTTTATGAACATTTTTATGAACATTTTTATGAACAGTTTTATAAAAAATGTTCTGAACATTTTTATTAACATTTTTATGAACATTTTTATGAACATTTTTATGAACATTTTTATGAACATTTTTATGAACATTTTTATGAACATTTTTATGCCCATTTTATGAACATTATGAAAAAAATTGTATCAGTTGTCTCATTTATTTGCAGAAATAGGTAGTAGTTCTTTATTTTAATATTGATGACAATAAGAGCCAGACAAATCTTTAAAATTGGGGTGTACTGTATTGCAATAAAAATTTAACAGTTTTAATATTTAACTTGTTGTAAAAATAAAATTATGAATAGACACCTTTTAAAAAAAATTAAATTTGATTTTTTTGAACAAAAAAGATTTGGCTCCGAATCGACTTACCAGATTTTTCAAAATTTGCTAATTTATTACATACATAATACAAAAATTATGATCTTTTTTTTTAAATTTTGAGTGGAGCATAGTTAAAAATTTTGGAATTTTTTTTATAAATAATACAGTTAAAAATACAGCTAGTTTAAAAGTTTCTATTTTTTATTAATTTTATGTCTTTACTATTAGGCACAATGAAGATGGGTCGTATACATATGGTTATGAGTCAGGCGATGGCACATTCAAAATTGAAACAAAATTACCTACGGGAGAAGTAAAAGGGAAATATGGTTACGTTGACGATACCGGAAAGGTACGTGTTGTGGAATATGGAGCAACGAAATATGGTTTTGATCCCAGTGGGGAAGGAATTACAGTACCACCACCTACATTAGTAGACGAATCTAGAGGTATGAAATAAAATAGTTTATTATTACTATTCTTTTTGTCTATTTTCTTATTGTATCCCAAAAATCAGTTTTTGTAGTATTTTAATAAAAAAATATATTAAATAGTTTCCCAAAAACATTGTAAAATCTATCGATGGATCTACTCGTATATTTCACAGACGAACAGTTTCATTATAAAAAAATATTTTTGAATCGAAAAAGTAAAAAAATACGTTTTTGAAAATTTTGGTGTCCTCTACTTCTTGAATTTATTATCATAGAAGAGTGGTCCTATAAGATAAAATGTAGAAAATATTGTTAACTACAACTTTTGTATAAAAAATGTCTATTATCGTTCATCGTTTTTTAAAAAATCTATTTAAAATTCTAAGGGGTGGAAATATTGAAACTTTTGTTTTCACCTACAGATTCATGAATTACAATAGCGTGATTTTTTTATTGAACCCATTTTTATACTATACCTTCTAATTCTTGCAACATATTCCAGAAGAAGAACAACAAGAAGATATCTACCAACAACAACCTCAGCCGCGACCACAAGTTCCCGTGAGAAGGCCTCAAGCTGTGAGACCAAGACCTCAACCTCAACCACAAATTGACCTCGATGAGTACTCTCCTCCACAACAATTCCAACCTGCACAAGCTCCACAACGTCAAGGTAATAAATACATCTCCTACTGTTTTCTCTGCCTATATGTATTTGTGGACTCTAAGATTCTTTGATTCTTTAATGACATATAAATAGCGTTTACAATCTTTATATATGTTTATTATCTTTATCACTTTGACTGCCAAGTGTATCTCTAGCGATACACCGGGCCTGTGTTTAGGAACTCGGTGTATCTTTAGCGCATACCTTTCCGTATGTTTAGCATTGCAGTTTTTAACGTTTGGCCTGGCTGAACACCTTGGCGTATGGAACTTTGGCCTGCATGGAGCGTAAAAGAATATTTTTTAGTTTTATAACAAGGATTTTTTTATTTAGGCCTATGAATCGAGGGCAATCAAACACGAATTTGTCATTTTAAATATTTATTTGTTAAAAATGTGTATGGTACTTGTAAAATAAGAAAAACTAAATTAAATTGACAAAACTAAGTAGATACCATAGTAAAAATGCTGTAATATTACAAAAAAAAACTGACCTAATGGAATAAATCAGTAAATAAAATGTAGTGTTTCGCAGTGAAACATGGTCGACAAAAATAGGGGTTGCCCTCGCATGCGTCGCAAATGGTAATAACCTGCGCCGCCACCTTCTTATGCCCGTCGACAATTTTACCCTTTTTACCATACATTTCATAGCGTCTTGCACATCTTGTTCTCTTCTTGTCTTCACGTGTTATCAAATGGTGAGCAACAACACGTCTTCTTTTATGGCTCGAGAAGGCTTCGGATTCATCTACTAGCAGTCTCAAAATAACGCTTTGTCTAAAATCAGTTATACTCATTTCGTTACTGTTGACGCAATGTTGGCTATACAAAAAATGCGCATTTACAAGGGAAGTACCCCACAGCATTTCCATAAGAACTTTTCGATAACATTTGTTGCATCTTCGCAGGGCCATGTTATATGAAGCTAACTGATCGCTGACGTCAACTGGAGACTTCCCTTTATCGTAATCGATAACACATTTAGGTTTTATTTTCTCGACTCCGCGTTTAGTTGAAGTAACAACTGTTTCTGTTCCTGAATGAAAGGTGGAAATCATCCAAACGTCTCTTTGGTCTTTCCATTTCAATACGGTAATTCCCTCAGGAGCTTATTTGGCTATAATTAGGGTTGCCAACTTTGTTTTTTAATTTTTCTGTACGATGGTATAATTAAAATTCAGGACATACGGTATAAAAACTGGACATTTTTATTTTTGCAAAAACAACAAACTTAAATAAACAATTCGACAAATAAAAACGAAGTGATAAAAAACAAGGATTGTTTGGGTAAATAGAAACTAACGTTTAAATATTTTATTTAAAAAAAACATAAGATGAATATAAAAAGTTGCAGCTACTTAACAGTGTCAAATTTTTTGCTTTTTGCAGATACTATTAATTTCTTGTTAGCTTTTAAAAAATTATAAAATTCTTTGTAAGAATAAGAATAATTATTCTTTATTTGAAGTTCGGCCTTGATGTGTTCAATGAACAAGCGATTATGCGCCTCAGTCCACGAAGTTGAACACATTAAAAATATTCTTTCAGAGTCAGCATTGGACCCAAATATTCAAAATATAAATTACAAAATAAGCGACGATGCCAATATGACTATAAAATATAAGAAATTGGAGATATTATTTGAAACACTAAAATTAAGTACAATAAGCGTCCTGTTGCAGGACACTGGACAATGCACCTCAAATGGTGGACGTCCACCGAAATGCAGGACGGTTGGCAACCCTAGCTATAATACTACCTTTAGCAAGTTTGGCTTATTGTATAGACTTAGGTATGTATTTCCTATTAGCTTGCACAGTTCCAACCAATTGTGTTTTATGTTCAAGAAGCTCACAGGCAAGTGGTATGCTCGTGTAAAAATTATCGACATACAAAGTGCGCCCTTCATTCAGGAGATCTTTTATGAGACATAGCACCACATTTCTCGATGCTGGTAAGGCTTTATTCTCAGTTTGATCTCTACCGACGTAAATCGAAGCATTCCACGTATACCCCCTGCCAGTGCATGGTTTGTATAGAGTTTTACGCCATAGCGATGTCGTTTTGATGGGGTTTCATCAATACATACTGTCTCTCCTGGGGTATAGGCTTTCTTGAAGTTTTCCACGGAATTGTCGAAAATTTTCTCAATTTTGTGAATTCGATTTCCTGGAACTGCATCTTCATTATTAGCGAAATGCCAGAATCTAAGCAAGATTTCAAACCGATTTCTAGGCATAACTGTTCTTGGAATTCGAAAGAAAACAATTTACTTTTCGACCAGTAATCGGGAACCTTCACAACGCCCATATAGCCCAGCAAAGCAACAAATTGTCTCATTTCTTTTGAGTCAGTGGGTGTCCAATTGTGAAGACGTGAAGAAGCTGGTATATCAGTAGCATTCTCAAGTACTTGCGTAGCATAAAGGTTAGTTTCATCTACCATTATATTTATTATTTCGGGTGTAAAAAATATTTCGAAGTAGTCAATTGGCTCAGCTAGTGCTAAGATACCAGCGATTGTAGAATCCATGCCGCTATTTCCAGTAAAAGGAATGTTTTGTTGGTTTCCAACGGGATCACCCCAAACGATATTTTAATAATCATCTGTCGAAGTATGTGGAAGTAGAGGAGAAGGAGATCCGCCTGGAACTGAAGACGCAGCAGATGTCCCTGGAATTGGAGAAGCCGGTGTAGCTGCAGCAACTGGTGCTCGATGTGTGTTCACTGTGTCAGAATCATCACTATGATTGTCACTACTACGGTTGTCACTGTCACTATCTGGGGAGTAATTAGGATCATCATTGGAGTCTATGCTTTCCTCACTCATTTCGTCTATATATCTTGCAAGTTCGTCATCCTTTAGGTTTCTTCTGGTCATTATGGTACTTACTTGTTTACTATATAGTTCACAAATCACTAAGTCACTTACAAGTGTTCATTCACGGTCTTTTTACTTTGTTACTAGTTGTCTTTTTCCGCTTTTTTTTTTCAAAATTCTTCTTGTCCTTTTTCACTTTTCTTCTACTGGCTTACCTGAAATCTCCGATTAGAGATGGTGTATCGTTAGGGATACACCCGGCCTGCTACGAAAAAAGAAACGTCTCAGGCCAGGTGTATCATTAGCGATACACCATCAAAAAACCTAAAAAAACTGTATAAAAGAGGATAAAAAGTAGTTTAGTACAATTTGGCATCACTTTGAACTCCAACTTTAGAAAAATATTGTCTTGGCCTGAGCCGACCAAAACCGAAAATTCGCTTGGCAGTCAAAGTATTAAAGATATTTGCCTTTTTTGCATATATTTAAAATCTTTTGTTAGTATTATAATTGTTAACTTTTCCTAAATTAAATAAAAAGATCTTTTAGTGATAACTCAGACACTCGAAAACGAGACTTTTTTAATTGCAATAGTGTTGATTAGGATATGTTAATACATTCTTTACATACGTTTACAATATTTGTATATGTTTACAGTATTTTTATAAGTCTGCAGTCTTTATATATGTTTACAGTCTTTATATATGTTTACAGTCTTTATATATGTGTACAGTCTTTATATACAGAGTTGCGCGATAGTCAAGAATAACATTATTATCTGTTCAACCAGTAACTTAAAAAAAAAAAACGCTGAAACATGGGAATTGATTTTACATTGGACGTATTTGTTGCAAATCTACAGCAATGGCAAAAAATTCAAACAAAAAATCGAAACAGCAAACTTTTTACAAAAAAAAACGTTTTTCTGAATGTTAGTTTAACGCCCTGTAACTTTGTTAGGAGCCAGTTTTTGATATAGGTAAATATAGCCAAATCACCTTATTTTTTGGTAATCTATCTGAGGAAGAATTTATGACATAATTTTTTGAAACACCTTGTATATGTTTGCAGTCCTTATATATGTTTATAATCTTTATATATAGTCCTTATTTATGTTTACAGTTTTTATATGTTTAGTCATTGCATATGTTTACATTCTCTATTAAATATTTGCATTTCGTAATATATATTGACGCTCTTTAAAATATAATACTATATGATAGTGATCCAAATTGGTCTTATTTTTTGCAGCACCGCCTCAATCATCTTTCGATTTCGACTTCGGACCTCCGTCTCGTCCAGCTCCGGCACCGGCTCGGTATGCTCCTGCTCCAAGACCGAGACCATTGCAAATTCCAGGTGCTCAACCAGCTCCGGTAGATGAAGGTTTCGGTCCTGGACCCGCTCCAAGACCATCTCCAAGGATAACGTACGCCCAGCCAGCTCCTCCACCGCAAAGGCCAGCTCATTTGGATTTCGATGTTCCTTCGAGGCCTGCACCAAGGTATATAATGCAGAGTGTTTCAAAATATAGTTGATACCGGAAATAATAGTAAAGACATGTGTAAAAACATTTCTTGTGTCCTGTTCTGTCGCTAATGCAGCAAGAAAAGGTCTCAATGCCAATAACGACCCTTCCAATACTATCTTCTTAAGAAAGTGAAAAATTTGCAGTGACTTCAACTCAAGAAAATTTCTCTTCTATTTGTTATGATCCTAGGTATAGTGCCCTTGAATTCTGGAAAGCTACACATTCGTTCAGAATGTGAATGGAGGTTCCGTCCAAATCCTCATAGAATCTGTACTCACTATCTTTTACTACTCCCAGTTTACTAAGGTGTTCCTGTTACAATACGTAGCCTTTTTTTTGTGAAAGAAAAATCTGCTTACGGGCCCCTGATGCCTAACGGATCATCGGGGAGTGTAGGGTTGAGTTTCTTGTGGGCGATCTCTACCCACTTACCCACTAAACCTCTACCTGCATCCTGTCCGAGCTCTGGTATCGCCTTTCGAAGGCATTCTTTGGAGCTCGGGATCTGTCTTCTATCCCTCTTTGTCATTCTGTACTCCACCTGGCTTGTCCTTCTCTTGTGCTCTCATAATTCTAATACTGTAATTGCGTACTGTATTCCAGTTTTCTTTGGATTTGCATATTAGTTTTGTCAGGTTATTCTCCTCAAGCCTCTTTCCCAGTATTGCCTCTACTTCTCTGCGTCCTGAATCCTATCTTGTGCACTCGAACAGTGCTTGTTTTGTGTCATCTATTTCTGGACAAAACATGCAGACATCACTGTCTCTTAGTCTATTTGAAATAACGATAAAAGGTCGAGAAACGCCGCACTTGATGAGACCACTTGTCCCCTACGTATTTTGGGACGCTAATTTTTTATCTTTATCGGTTGTAAGCAGGTATAGTTAAATTTGGCACAGAACACTGCGGCCTCTTGCGTGTATTGCATTCCCCTGCTTTCCTCGTATTCAGGTACTATCTTTGGAATAGTCCTGTGTCTTTGGTTAGTTTTAGTAGGTTCCCTACCAAGTGTTCCTGGGGCGTTCTTTCCGGTTCTAGGCCGAAAAGGATGAAACGTCGCCCAGTAACAGCTTCGCATTCGAAGATCACATGGTATGAGGTTTCTTCCTCTTCCATGCAAAGTCTACACGTAGTGGGATCATTGTGTAATCCCATTACATGAAGGTGTTTCAGCAAGCAGTGCTCCGTTAGTAATCCCACAATGTTGGATATCTGAGGTCTTGCGAGTTGTAGTAACTCAGTAACCATGCGTGGGTTTGGTCCCCTTAGCATGAGCTTACTGATTCTGTGCCCTCTTATCTGTTGCCAGTGAATTTGGTGTTTTATGGTACGGGTCCTACGAATGGTAGATCTGATCCCTCTTTGGTGAGTTCATCAGCCTTTTCATTTCCTTGGATACCTTTGTGCCCTGGTACCCACGCCAGTTTTACCTTGTTGTGGGTTGCCAGATCATTTAGTATTCCAAGGCAGTTCCAGACAAGCTTTGACTTAATTTTGTTTGAATCAAGAGCCTTTAAAGCTGCCTGGCTATCTGAGAGAATTAGGATGGTTTGTTTTTTGTACTTCCTTCTTAAATTCTCTCGTACACACAATTCGATTGCATGTATTTCAGCCTGAAATACGGTGGCATGTTTTCCCAGTGAGACGATGATGTCGCATTTGGGTTTAACTCCATGTACGCCAGAGCCTGTTTCCTTATTAGTTTTAGATCCATCCGTATACCATACGAGGCCACTAAGCAAATATTTATCTATCTCCTTATTTACCTCATTCCAGTTACAGTTGACCTGGAAGAGTGTTAAAGGTTAGGAGGGGTGTCATGTGATCTGATCCCATATTTAATATAGAATTATTTACTTCATGTGTTATTCTGGTATGTTTTATATGTCCCAGTGGGTTCCAGTTGTTGGAGATTTCCAGTCTGTATGCACTCATTCTGGCCTCTCCCTTTGTGACTATGTCAAGGGTTGGGAGGTTTAGAATGATTTCCATAGAGGCTGTCGGTGTACTTTTCAGTGCTCCTGTAATACAAAGGCATGCCAGCCTCTGTACTCCTGAGAGGGTATTGAGGGCTGTTTTCTGGTTTACTTTTGGCCACCAAACAACCGCTCCATAAGTTATCATGGGTCTTGTTATTGCCAAATATAGCCAGTGGACCATTTTTGGTTTTAATCCCCATGTTTTTCCAAATGCCTGTCTCCTTACAATGAGGGGGGGCGCTGATTACGAAAATGAGGTTTAAAACTGGCAGCAATGGTTGGAACACCCTTAAAATTTCAAAAAACACCCCTAAATGGGGTGTTTTTCGACTTTACTTGTTTTTTTGCAAACTAAGCCATCTTACATGTTTTTTGGGGCGCTGATTACGAAAATGGGGGTTAAAACTTGCAGCAATGGTTGAACCACCCCTAAAATTGCAAAAAACACCCTTAAGTAGGGGTGTTTTTCGACTGTACTTATTGTTTTGCAAACTAACTCATCTCATATGTTTTTTGAGGCGCTGGTTTTGAAAATCGGGGTGTCGAGACTGTAAAATTTGTGTGACACCGCCGACTTGCCAGAAAAACCCCTCCTAAGGGTGAATTTTCGGAAAAAATTACTAGTCACGGTGTTTCGCAAACTAAGTCATCTTATATATTTTTTGGGGCGCTGATTACGAAAATGGGGGTTAAAACTGGCAGCAATGGTTGGAACACCCCTAAAATTTCAAAAAACACCCCTAAATGGGGGTATTTTTCGACTGTACTTGTTTTTTTGCAAACTAAGCCAGCATATATGTTTTTTGAGGCGCTGATTACGAAAATGGGGGTTAAAACTTGCAGCAATGGTTGAACCACCCCTAAAATTGCAAAAAACACCCTTAAGTAGGGGTGTTTTTCGACTATACTTATTGTTTTGCAAACTAACTCATCTCATATGTTTTTTGGGGCGCTGATTTCGAAAATCGGGGTGTCGAGACTGTAAAATTTGTGTGACACCCCCGACATGCCAGAAACACCCCTCCTAAGGGGTGAATTTTCTGAAAAAATGATCAGTAACGGTGTTTCGCGAACTAAGTCATCTTATATATTTTTTGGGGCGCTGATTACGAAAATGGGGGTTGAAACTTGCAGCAATGGTTGTACTACCATTAAAATTGCAAAAAAACACCCCTAAGTAGTTTTTCGACTGTATTTGTTGTTTTGCAAACTAACTCATCTCATATGTTTTTTGGGTCGCTGATGAGTTAGTTTGCAAAACAATAAGTACATTCGAAAAACACCTCTATTTAGGGGTGTTTTTTGCAATTTTAGGGGTGGTTTAATCATTGCTGCCAGTTTTAACCCCCTTATTTTCGTAATCTGTGCCCCAAAATACGTAAGGGACAAGTGGTCTTGTCAAGTGCGGCGTTTCTTGACCTTCTACCGTTATTTTAAATGGAATATCTCTTTTGTATTCTATTTAGATACCTCATAAAACAGCCGTGAACAATACGTAGCCTGTTCTCGTTTTAGGCAGATACAGGCTTCCGATCATTTCTGGTTATAATCACCCAGAAGTATCTTAAAGCCCTAAAACATTGTTCCAATTATCCATTTTTCTTTCTACTGCCCAATTCAGATAATTGTGCAAAATATTAATTTTTGTCAGTACAAATTAATAATATTTCTCAACGAGCATTATTAAATATAGCGGGTAATGATGGTCCAAGCTCAGATCCCTGAGTCAAAATATAAGATAAAATCAGAATCACTCATTTGTACCATTTGTTTTTAAAGAGAAGGTAAGTTAACCGTTCTTCTTACCAAGGATCATTATTTATTACGACCGATCTTTGTCACTTAACAGTACCTTGACGTTTGTTTGAAACAGGAATATTTAGGTTATAACCATACAAATTATATGCAGGGTGCCCCAAAGTTTCGTAAATTACCTATATCACAAAGTGCTTCGTTAAAAATCATCAATAAGCATAGGTATCTACTGAAACATAACGATTCAAAGAGAAGGATACATTTTTTACAATAAATGTTTAATATGGCCATACAGATTTCAATTCAGCGCAAGAAATTTAAGTGTACCATTTTCAAAATGCTCCTTATCTCTTGATTTTTATTTATTTATTGATTCCCTTAAAAAGCTTGATTTTTACTCAAAATTTCCTGTTAATATCGCTTTTGATTTTTGATTTCTCTTTTATTTTGTATTTCAACCTCTCTTGAACTCCATTCTATTCAGATTTTTATTTTTAATCAATAGAGCTTTATGTTTGCCAAATATTTCAAGTTGATATTATTATTCGTTTTTGACCCCCCTTAACCCCCTTTTTTAATCATTTTTTTTATTAGAATCAATAGGCTTACCTAATCTCCTTATGAGCTTGATTTTTGCCAAAACTTTTAAGTTGATATCATTTTTCGTTTTTGAGTTAATTTTAACCCTCTTTAACCCCCTCCTTCATTTTTATTTAGATTTTTGTCAAAATCAATTGACTTCGTCGCTTTATACAGCGCGATTTATCCTGAAATTTTCCAGTTGATATCAGTTTTCGTTTTTGCCTATCATTCGGACAAAAAACGTGACATCGGACGAACAGACAAAATAAACCTATAAAATACTCTTCATAGACTACTATGTAAAGAGTATAATAATACTATCCTGCATCGTGGTATTAGTCCTATATGACTTTTCTACTCAAACATAGTAAAAGTTACAAGTTGTGGTTCCAATCAAAAAATATATTAAACCGAATTATTAACAGTCTATAGATACTATAGAACATATTCTCAATTGTTTCTAAAAATCGACATGTTTTGTGTATGTTCAATTTTTTTCTAGATTCACCATGGAAAAGGTTTAACATATTTCTAAGACAAGTATTAAAAGTAATTTTAAAAAATTGACATCACAATAGTGCAGATGCAATAACCACATCTTGACCAAATTTGTATGAAACCACCCCTTAGGTACCCTCTTACTAACAAAAAAATTATCATTGAAATCGGACACCGTGTTAAAGAATTATCGCTGAACATACATGAAAAGAATATTCCGATAAATTGAGAACCTCCTCCTTTTTTGAAGCGGTAAACGACGTGGCAACGTTACATTTTTTATTTATTGTTTCGGCCTTTACTTGATGAAAATCCATATTATCTTAAATGAGTAAAACCAAATTTGGTAGATTTTCACAAAACTTTTATTTTGAAAAAAAAAATAAAAACATGTTTGATGTATTTTCTTAATTACTTTGTTTGGTTAAATTACTTGGCATATACAGGGTGATTCATAACTATTGGGACATATATTAAGGGCAGGTTATTTAGATCAAAATATGGCGATAGGACCAAATATACTTTAATAAAATATGGCTGTGGAATAAGATACAGGGCGTTAAAGTTGAATTTTTTTTTCGTTTTTTTTTATAATCTCACTGTATATTTATGAATTGTTATCAAAATCGGCTCAAAGGCATATCTTTGGACAAGGGATATTATTTTATGTATTATTTCACATTTTTTTACAGGGGGCGCCACGAGAATTATTCCTGATGATGAAATTAAGTGGTAAGTTTTTTGCCGAAACTTTTTAGTGCTTTTTATTAGAAAATATTACGTAAACATCATTTCTACGTAATATTGGTACTCCTGTTTAAACACGATAATTTCACCTGTTTTCGAGAAAAACGCAATTGAACAGTTGAGAGTCTCAGAAGGATATTTCAAAAAATATTTTATTTATGAAAAATGTGCTTTGGACTGACTGTCAGATAATTGTGTCTGGTAAATGTCAGTTCTTGCCAATGAATTATTTTTGCTGTGAGATTATAGTCTATTGTTGCATTTTTTAAAGCTTTTTCGACTGAAATGCCTCGTCACCATCATTTTACGAATGAAGAAATGCGGGATATGGTTTGTGTATATGCACAAGAAAATTTTTGCGGTCGCATGGCAGCCAGAAGGTATGAATTGTTATATCCAGACAGAAGGCAAGCAAATCACAAAACTTTTGCAAATCTATTTCATCGTTTAGGTGAAACCGGGTCAATTCATAGTAAAAATCTGGGTGGTCTTCCGAAACAAACCACACCTAATGAAGAAGATGAAATTTTGGTTCGAGTAGATGAAAATCCTGAAGTAAATTCACGTCAACTGGCAATAACAACAGGAGTAAGTCAGTCGTCTATTATTAGAGTTTTAAAAAAAGAAAAGTTTCATCCTTATCACTTCACTCCTGTTCAAAATTTGCTTCCAAGAGATCTCCCAAGACGGTTACAGTTCTGCCAACGTATTCTCAACAAACATAATGATGACCGAAATTGTATTAAAAATATTATGTTCACCGATGAAGCGACTTTTACTAGACGAGGTGTTTTTAATTATCGAAACAGTCATCACTGGTGGAAGAAAACCCGCATGCTCGTAAAGAAACACATTTTCAACATGAGTTTAAATTTAATATTTGGTGTGCCATTATAGGCGACCAACTACTAGGGCCATATCGTCTTCCTCCAAATTTAAATGGAGATTCCTATTTATTTTTTTTTGCAAAATACTTTTAGAGATATTTTGGATGATATGCCACTAGATGTAAGAAGGAAAATGTGGTTTATGCAGGATGGAGCTCCACCTCATTTCCAATTAGTTGTTAGACATTATCTAAGTGACATATTTCCTCAACGTTGGATTGGCAGAGGAAGTAATTTTGAATGGCCACCAAGAAGTCCTGACTATAACCCTCTTGATTTTTATGTATGGGCACATATGAAATCCTTAGTTTATACCCAGGAAATTAATTCACGAGACGAACTCTGGAGGAACATACAAAATTCGGGTAATTTTATAAGGAGACAGAATAATATTTTCTTTGCCATCCGAAAGTCCTTTATTAAAAGAATTAGAAAAGGCATAGAAGTCGGAGGAGGTCACAATGAACATTTAATTTAAGTTTGCTTTTTTATGTTAAATTGTTTTTAATTTTGCTTCACCGTTGAAATGAAAGCCTTACGTTACAAGTTTTCTTATTGTGTTATTTGGAATCCCCTTCTGAGACACTGAACTGTTCAATTACGTTTTTCTCGAAAACAGGTGAAATTATCGTGTTTAAACAAGAGTACCAATATTACGTAGAAATAATTTTTAGGTAATATTTTCTAATCAAAAGCACTAAAAAGTTTCCCCAAAAAAAGTTACCACCTAATTTCATCATCAGGAATCATTCACGTGGCGCCCCCTGTAACAAAATGTGAAATATTACATAAAATAATATTCCTTTTTCAAAGATATGCCTTTGTGCCGATTTTGATAACAATTCATAAATAAACAGTGACGCCCTGTATCTTATTCCACAGCCATATTTTATGAAGGTATATTTGGTCCAATCGCCATATTTTGGTCCAAATAACCTGCCCTTAGCCTATGTCCCAATAGTTATGAATCACCCTGTATATTGGACACCGAATTGTAATTAGTCACATTTGAAAAAGAAGTTGTACTTCGAAACATGTCATGTGTAGTGTTTTTAATTTTTTAATTTTCATTTTTTTAAATAAAAGTTTTGTGAAAATCTACCAAATTTGGTTTTACTCATTTAAGGTTTGTGAACAAGAAGAACTTTTTTGACAGTGTCAGTATTACTACACAGAGTGGGACCGGATTTAAAAATAATTTTGTCAGAATATACTGACATTTAATAGCCTTTTATTTTTATTTTATTCTAGATTTTCGCCAGCACCTAGACCCGCTCCTGTCTACCAACCCAGGCCCGCTCCCAGCATCCCAGTGGCGGGGAGATCCGGTGGGATTTTGGATCAGCTGAGCAAAGATTACGCGCTGCCCTCAGATGGAGCTGCTCCACTCCACGATATTAGTTTCGGTTACTATTAGAAAATGTAGGAATTTTTAATTTTTAGAAAACGTCAAATCTGTCGACTATGGTTTTACGTTCATATTTAATCAAAATTAATTGTTATTTATTGTTGTTGTGTGAAAAATCGATTGAGAATTCTCGCTGGACAGTTTTTTTTTTATTTTCAATAAATTTATTTTCACTTTGGGGGTTTGAAGATAGTTTTAATTATTTTGTAGGAATGATTTTCAAAAATTGATTTGAGTATTTCTAAAGACTTTATAATGTGATTGACGTAAAATAGTTCTTGTGCTGTAAATGACAGATTTTTATATTTGAACGTACAACTATAGTGTATAATGTATAAAAGACATATAAGTGAGGTCATTGAAGTTTTTTGTTTATTATTAATACAACCGAAAACTACTTATTTCTCCATTGCAAAGTTTTTATTTTGCCTATCTGATCAAATTTTATCAAATAAAATATCTTTCTCTGGTTAGGTATGTACTGTGGATTGTTTTTGTCCACTTTCAATATTGGAATATTTTTCTTTTTTTTTTTAACTTTGGTATATTGTTAAGTAACCTGATATTTTCAAAACCATTCGAAATTCCAGAATCTGTGGACTTGGAAAATATTAACGGTTTTAGCATGTTCTCTTTATATCATCTGGTGTAGGTTATACGAATGTAAGGTGCCAAATATGTCAAATTGGATGATGTTCAAATAGCGTAATGGGGTATATTTTTCTCTTGGCATTTTCAAAACTGCTTTTTAATGTTTCTAGTATTGAAATTCATTCTTTCAACATTTCAAAATTAATTAAAAACAGACAAAATAAAATAGGTTAATTAATTTTTGAGAAATCGTGCTAGATGTCTCAAAAACTGTAAACAGTATAATTAAAAATTAAAAATTCATCTTTTGGAAAATTGACAGGCAAGTAAATTTTCGACCATTATTGGATATGAATCTATTCTTTTCTTTATCTATCATTTTTATTCACGTTCTTTTTAATTAAATGCCTCTAAACTATTAATAATGTGTTATTACTTAAAGTAAACTATAAAATGTTTGCTTATTTGTGTTATTTTAATATTCAAGATTTGTAAATGCTTCTACTGTATTTACATTATTATTTTAGTAAATAATTAGTTAAACCGTAGTTATAAATATCACTGGTGTAGGTACCTTAAAATACTCTTATAATATTAGGTGTAGAATATAAAAGTTTTTTTTATTCCTTTCATACATCTTCCCTTTTCTGTTATTTTATTTCAAATTTTTTTGACTATTGTTATTATCGTTATTATTATATTATAATCATATTATTTACCTGGTGTTGTGATATACTAAGCATGTTTTTCTACTACTCTAATACATATTTTTCTTTACTTTATTTTTCGTTCTTATTTCTATTTAAAAGAACGTTTTTTTTTGTTTTATTTTAGCAGATGTATTTAACCCTGTGATTAATAATATTACTAATATCATTGCATGCATGTAAATATTCACTAACGTAGTTTTTATTATAATAATTGTTCCTTATTCTCTTTCTTGTTTTCTCATATTTTAATAAAACTTATTTCTTTTCTTTTTAATTTTTTAAATTCATTTAGTAGTTGCTCTTCTTAATGTACCGTTTCCTAAATCTTCTAAATTTAACTGTTATTTTACATCTTTCATTCTCTAATTTAATTCATTCAGTATATTTTCTATTTTTCTTACATTTCTACTTCTTGTTTTTTACTTCAACTTTAAGTAAGTTAAAAAAAAACGTTAATTAATTTGTTTTTTAATATCCTTAAGTACATTTTGATTTGCTGCTTTTATTTAAATTTTCTTATATTTTACTTCTTATCATCGGAATCCAGAGGGGGACAGGTGGCGGTTTCCCACCCTCGTCTTTTCATTCGGTTAATTCACTATTATTATCTTTGTAGGGGAGACTGGGGTATAATGATCCCCTTGAAGCTAATTTCGTTATATTTCTAGTAAAGGGATATAAATTTATTTGCCTCTTCTAGAGGATTTAATGTCCATTTGACAAATATATTAGTAATAAGTTATTACATTAGTTTTCAAATGATTCACATTGTTTTACTCAATTAAAAAACTATAAACCTGATGATATTTTCATATACTAAACAAAGTAAAATGGTCTTTTTATTTAGCATCACAAAAGCTATAAAAAAATACAGTTAAAATCCAGGTCCGAATTTAAATAAAAAATAACTTGAAGGTGGTCCTTGAAATACAAAAACATTGTAATGAAATTGTTCGTATTTCATGATATGAAACCTCGTTTTTAATAAAAACTTCGAATATTTTTTTTGTCTTTTATAATAATAACGCTAAAAATTCAAAGCAAAAATGAGCTGCTACGAATTTCGTCGAATACCTTCGAAATTAGCCGGAAATGCCAAAATTTGTATGGACCATTGAATTACCAATAAAAATATGGAACATTTTACTTATTCAACCAACATTGTATATCTTGCTCTTAACGAGATCTATTTATATAAGTATATTTCGTCTTATTGCAATTTGCCCGAGAAACATTTAATAATGTTCCAATATTTTAATTTGAAACCACTCATAAATGTTCGCTTTAAATAATCGTTACTTTATAACTACTGCAATAATTGCATATTAACATTTTTTTCTTGTAAATGAATAACAATGACCAATGACCTCCTTATAATTGTGGGTGGAGTAGAAACTAGTCTTGATATAATCATTATTATCGGAGCGTTTTAAATCAAAAAGTTGATATTCAACAATCTACCAACCTACTGCGAAACCGTGTATGAATGTGCCTTTAGTTGAATAAGCATGTACCACAGTGGCGTGCTTCGGGTAATTCAATGGGAGAAGTAATGTATTATACATATTTGCCGTATGGATTTTGTCTATTAAAAAACGGAGATGTATTTATAAATTTACTACCCGAGCCTTATTAAATATTTAAAAGAATAAAATATATGTCTGGTTGGGTGTTAAATAGGATACCTACCCTTTTACTTCTCCCATAACACGCGCCTGTACCTCGACTGTATATATTAAATATGTTTGTGTACACTGCTTTATTTCTTTGAATTATGTTATTACTTGATGTTTTGTAATTATATAGTTTTCATGAATATACTTTGATGTTTTAATTATTCCTAATTCTTTACCCTTTTCTTTCGTTTTGTCTTCTAGAAAACTCAAAGTACGTACCTGTTCCTATTCAGCAGCATTTGTGGCCCACTATTTAACAGACGATTGAAACTATTTTTTTTTCAGTCTCGTAAAGGGTCAGACATCTACCGCTTCAAGAATATTTAATAATTAATCGGCATTTTTAACACATGATTTGATTATTTCTCACTGTCGAACACAGCAAAATTATTTTAATAACTACACTACCAGATTCGCAAGATCTTAAAATGGCTTAATGCTAAATATCGTTAAACTATAATTCATATTAAAAAGGATAAATGAAAATTATTTATTTTTAATTTAAGCCAAAAACTCTCAACACTACTGGATTCAAAAAAGAGGTAATAAAACAAGGGTGGTCCTTAAGATCTTACAAGAGTAATTTAATACGACCGGTTTCGAGGAGATCAGATCCTCATCATCAGGTATGGTCTAAAATAGAGAGGTAAAAACGAATGAGCTAATAACTAATAAAGTGGGTTTCACCTCTTTTTTGAACATATAACTCACACATGGCTACTACCTTCAACTTTAATATTACTGGATTCTTTGTAGATTATGCCATACATTACTCTAATCAATCAAGAGCCAGACTTTCGTCCTATTTTACAATTTGTAAAATATACATAAATGAAAATTATCTTGAGAATAAACACAAACACATGATGTGCCCAACTCATGATTTTCCAATAAAGTTTCACGAACTTTTCAATGACCCTACACACGGCATACCTTTGCATTTGAAAAGTTGGGTAGGGTTGTAGCTAAGGGGTTGAAAAAAAAATTCATTTTATTGGCAACAAATACGTCCAATGTATAATTAATTCACGTGTTTCAGCATTTTTTTTTATATTTACTGGTTGAATAAATAATTTTATTCCGGACTTTCGCGCAACTTTGTATATAATAATATGTACATAACTATTGTAACGATAGTCTAATTTATTTATAGTTTATTTATTTAAAATACACTATTTACAATTTATTTTAGAGGTACTAATTAATTTATATAATACTTAGATACTAACAATTCTAATTTATATATTACACTCTGACTCAACGACACTCTCTGCCCGTAATAGCCGTTTCTAGTGCATCAGCGGCATTCCTGAACGTCCGTCGCCTCGGGCACGAGTCGGTTGCCATCTGAAGATGATAAAATAGTCTGGGAAACGCAAGACTTTGTTGTCATAAAATATGGATCTTCCTTTTTTTCAGGTCAAATAAGAGAAATTCTAGACTCAGGTGCAGTGGTTAGTTGTATGGAAAAATATGGACGTCTGTGCACTTCTTGGAAATGGCCTGTATACGAAGACTGTGGTACAAATTTAGTGATATTGTTAAAAAGATTGATCCTCCTAACCTTAAAACTAGAAATATGTATTCAGTTCCGTTCATTTCTGAATATATTAACTGAAAACTGACGATGATATTAGATGTGACCGAAATAAGGTCTAGATTATTAATTTAAGTTTTTTTAAAAGAATTTTTTATTTTCTTTTTGCTACTTTTATAATAAAATATTTTCAAATAACCTTTTTTTATGCTGTCATCAACTCCGTGGTCTTACAATTTTTAATTTTCCTAAAAAAAATTGTTTTAAAATAAGAAACGAGCTTAACCACATAGCGCACAATGTTTCGTTACATGTTTAGAGTAAAAAAATGTTAACCCATATTGTACGTTCCCGCAAGTAGGAACAGTTGATAGCCTAAGCAGAAGGCAGAGAAAAATAGACTGTGTCTTTTATTGTTCTTTTAAATAATAGTTTAAAAAAATTAATAAAAAAGCATGAAACGGTTAAGAAAAAACGATTGAAACCAAATCACTTACCCAAACTACATCTAGGGGTGAAGTGAGGGCTCTCCTTAATTCCGGTATCCAAGGGATGATCCAGACTTTTTTCCTACCACAGGTTTTTATTAAAATTTTACAGATAAGCACGTTTTGCAGCAAAATTTTAAGTTTACCGGTACTCTATACGGTTTATTTCGTACTGACTTTTTCAAAGGTCTTTTCATACTACGAATCTACAATCGTGACTCGGTCTCAAAAATACGCGTAAATATATTTTAATCAGACATTACAAAATGTCTTTGATTTGAATCTACTAATAGGCAACTGAAATTACTCGTGACATTAATGAAGTTGTTTAATAAATTACCCATCGAAATGACAAATAAAAATTTGAAATTATTAGGATTCAACACATGTAATTCTAAGATGACAAGCGTCCTGCCGTTTTTCGCTTGCGAATTGTGCCATTTTGGTGGAATCACCCAGATATCGAGTAACGGGCACCATTCCGACACTACATTTTAAATATTGATTCTCTGTACCAAATCTCAGAGAAATCGAAGATAAAAAATATTTTAAGGCTACCCTTTGAATTTTTCGTGGTAGTCTCCGATTGAGCTTAAAATTAGCAGGTCGGTAGTATGCCATCTAAAATAATTAAAATAAGAAATATTTTTCTATCAAGCCTAATTCGTTAAAAAGAACAGTGTTGTTTCTCGAAAAATAGCAAAAGCAAAGAACTACAGTTAAGTTTTACAAACGTTCGCGTCTTCTCATATCTGCATTCAAAATTTCGTTCAAATCAGAACAACTTTTGAACGAGAAGAGATATCGAGTAACAGCCCATACAGCTCACAATATTTCAGAAATATTTTAAACGTTTTAATACGTTTTTCATACAAAAGTTTCTGAAATATTTTAATTAAATATTTCACCGAAAATGTTTCTGAAACATGTTATAAATGTTACACGAAAGGTTACAAAACGTGTTATGTTGTAAAAGGCCAAGATTTAATGAAAAATTCTCATTTTTAAGAAGAAGATAGGTTATGTAGTCATTTTATTGCTATATGCAGTTGTTTAAGTCCTGCTCGAAGGACCATGTAGAAATTACCTTCTTGTTTTTGACTTCAATCTTATGACCAGAGAGGGATGTGGAATTTAAACGTTTCAATATTTGAGCTAAGTTAATTTAAAAATAACTTATCGTTACAGAGGGATAAAACCATGTTTAGACGTGATAGAATTATTATGCCAGGACCGGCCTAAGAAGTAAATTTTATTAGTGTTGGACACAAACATGTATGGGGTTATTTTGTTTCATTTTATAACAATATGTTTTAGGGAAAATGAAGAAAAAAACAAATGTCTAGTAGATAAAATATAATTGATTCTTTTATATATAATGTATATTTACCTATATAATAATTATAATAACTCTTCATATAGTGCAAGGTGCACAGTTACACATCCCAGTATAGCCAAATTTAAAATTATAAATGATTAGATCATAAACGATTAACATTAGATTTATATAATTCATTGGATATTTTTTTCAACATATACACTTCTCATGTTAATATATTCGCATATACAGACCGACTGTCAACAACACGTAACACTTCTCTACGACATTATAATCATTTTAGATGTAAATATATTTCATGAAAAAAAGGATGGAATATGGACATCTAAAATGACAAAACATTTTATAAATAAATAAATGCTCTATATAAACTTTTAAAAATCTCTATACTTTATATATACCTTATATAAAGTTAATATTAGTTATTTAAAAATTAGAACGAATAAAATATAAAATTGTTTGTAACAAATTTTATTATTTCTCTGATTATTTATTTACAAATACCTCTTGCACTGATTGCATATACCTCTAGATAATATTATTTACCGATATTTTTGACATATACAAATAGTAGCATAAACAGGCATTCAGGCACTTGAGCTTGGGATTTTTCTTAATCCATTGTAAGCTCCACTTCTTTTTCAATACCGTGGTCTTCGGTTCGGTCAAATATTTAAATTCGTTTTATTAAAAAGTTGACAAAAGCTGAGGATGTTTTCGAGGCCATCTAAAATAATGAAATAGGATTTTCTGAATAAATATTTGGTCGGACGGAAGATTCAACGCTGTTGAAAAGTGGACGGAGCGACGATTAAAGTACCCGAATACCAGCTACAATAATATTTAACTAAAATAATCAGGTTAAAAAGACATTTAAGTTAAAAATATGCTTTAACATGAACTGCATTTACAGAATAACCTAGTGAAAATTATGGAAGCCCTAGAAGATAAAATAAATGATAAAACGTTCGGGGCGTTTCACATTTCTAACCTACGAAAACTATATTTATTTTCGAGGTTAGTAATTCCACTAGAAAATCCTGTACCGAAAGTAAAATTTAATATTATTTAATGATTAAAAAAGAACGACATTGCACTATTAATTGACAAGAAACGTAATAACTAAGTAACCAGTCGGGTCTGTATATACGTATTTGCGACTTTCCATTCTGTTTTACATAAGTTTTCATCTAGATAATAATTTAAATATTGCCAACAGCATTACAATATGTACACTATGACTGGAATAACACCCCATTGGTAATAATCCCAAGCTTAGAGCGTGATAAAGCAGAACGTACATTTTTAATCCATTAATTATTCTCCTCGCCAGTTGGTGTTCGCTTAGAGAAAAATAAACAGTAACAACCTTTAAGGTAATTTTAATGCGAACGTATTAAATTGTAAGTCTAAGAATGAATCAAATTAAATTACACTTTGCTCTATAATTTTCCGAAAAATATTTAGCCTTTTACATTTTCCATAGTTTTGCCGAAAAAGACGATATTAAATTTAAATAGTTATAGGAATTCAATAAACTAATTGTTTTTTTTTTATCGTAGTGTAACTAAAATTTCAACAGCAAATAATAAACTGAAAGCTGGCTGCAAAAAATTGAAGGGTGAATTGAAGAAAATTATGGGTTATTAACGGCTCAACACCAGACCAACTATGGTTTCCTCTGGTTTGACGCGGAAGTAACAATAACAACAATTTTTTTGTGCTACATTGTTATAGAAACTGTACAAAAATGCAACGGTTCTTGTTAAAGCTGACATTCTCCTCTGTAATAATAATTAGAATTGCCTTCTTACTTCAAAAATGCAGCCTGCTTCAGACCTGGGCAAACTAAGCTTGGTCTGGTGTTCACCAAATAACAATCTATCATTTTCTTTTCAAATAAGGCTCAAATAATCCGCCACTTTGATTTATGTGGTGGTCTCTTGGATTATTCGCAGTATTGACGAAAGCATCACGCTATAAGCTCGAGACGACCGCTGTAAGTCGCATTTAAAATTCATCACATCATCTCTATAAGATATTTTTTTTAATCAGTGGTACCCCCGAATCCGACACATACCCAATTCTTCAAAATCGCTCCTCCGGATCTCGCAATCGTAAAAAAATATAATAAAAAATATAAAAGTAAGATCCGTTTGTTTCGTTTTACAAAAAAGAGGCTTCGAGGACTATTTCGAGGCGGGGTTGGGTAGGCTGTCGGACGAGGGGCGGGGGGCACCGCCTGAGTTTATAGCACCACACCAAGTACGGAGACACGTATAAAAATACCAAAACATTGCGCTTTGGTCCTCTAATAATTATACTTCAATAATAAAAAGCCCTGTTTAATAATACTTAAGAATCGCGAGTCGAGGAAGGACTCGAGAGATTTTAGGGGTGGTGTACGAGTCTCATTTTTCGTGTTAAAAAAAACATTTTTTATATTTGGTAAAAAACGCTTGCAATAACCCTTTTTCCAATTCTTCAAAAAAAAAAACAAAATTCAACTTACATTTTCCATAGTTTTACCGAAAACATGATTATTATAAAAAAAAAAATGTTTCGCAATGTTTCTCATAAAAACTTCTAAAAAGAAGTTTTGCGTCACACATGACAGTTGACATCCGACATATATCAAATAAAAATGAGCCAAATGAGTCATTTTATGTGTAGTAAATAGTAAACAAGCAAATTTTCTGCGATTATAAATTTAGAAGAATATTTTTTGTGTATTAAACGAGCAAATTATAAATTTATAATTTATAAATTTAGAAAAATGTTAAGTTTTAAGACAAAAAAAGATTTTAACTTCAGTGTGATGATTATGATGATCATGTGACAACTAAGTGGCCACCATTTATATTTCCAAATTTAATATAAGGTATTTTTGTTGTTTTTTGCAATACATTTTAAATAGTTAAAGTTCTATTAATAGAATATGGGTTATTGCAAGTTTTTTTTTAATTCACGTACATAGCAATTCGATTCACTAACTGAATCGGTTGTCAACGTCATACTTCATTTCAATAATGCCAATTGTCATTTTGAGCAGTAATTCAAAAAAAAAATATATGGATACGGCTAATATTTAATAGCTACTAAATAAAATTTAATCCAATTATGTATAATATAAAATTATGCCTATACAAATTGTTAATAATAAACAAATAGATACTTAAACATTAATTTTAAATGACTAATAACTTACGACGACAAAAACAAATTATAAAATATAGAAAATATATAAAAATAGATTTGTAAAATTTAATAGATTTTTATGGTTTTAATTAATTTTATATTAAAAAAAAATTAATTTCAAACGATAATCTACGATAAGACGAATAACTAAAGAATATTTGACATTTAAAGCAAAAAAAGGACAATACATTTAAATTAAAAATTACATACTACATAGATATTGCACAAAATGCGATTAAAATATATTTTGGACATTGGATATATTTTTTTAATTGTATCTTTTATATTTTTTGGGTTAGGTATTAAGACAAGTAGAAAAGTTTCATGTTCCACTTCTCTTTCTATCATTATTTGACATAATGTCAATTTTCACGCACTGGTAACAATGCTTCTGACATTTTAATCGTTTAAACGTGTTTTTAAATATTTAAAAACTGCTAAAGCAGTGTTCAATGAATAAAAACGACCATTTCAAACCAACACAATAACATAATGTCAAAATATAAATTTCGAACTCTCAAAATGGCATTTTTGACATTCCAACTCAATCAGACATTTGTGAATTATTAAATGACACATGTCAAAAATTCAATGTTAAACTGTCAATGTTTTCTAGAACTTCAAATGGTCAAACGTTGTTTTTAATCAATAAATCTTCAAATCAACTACTTTCAGACTGTCAAAATGACATTGTCGCACGTTTGAATGATTTCAAAATTGTTAAGGTAAATTTTTAAAGCTTAAAAACTTAGTTTGAAATTAACAGAATAATAAATGTCTAAGTTGTCTAAATGACTTATTTAATAGTTTTTACATCTTCGAATTGCTAAATGTTATTTTACGAGCCATTTGACATTTTCGCTTGTTTTAACGTGTGTAACAATGGTTTTGACATTTTAAATCGTATAAAACGTGTTTTTGAATATTTAAAAACTGTTAAAGCGGTATTCAATGCATAAAAACAATAATTTGAAACCATCAAAATTACTTATCGAAATATAAATTTTGAACGGTCAAAATTTTTTGACATTTCAACCCGATCAGAAAGCTTTTTAATTTGAATACATCAAAATGAAATATGTCAAAATATCAATATTGAACTGTCAAAAATCACCTATCAATGTTTTCTAGAACTTCAAATGATCAAATGTTGTTTTCAATCAATAAATCTCCAATAAAAATGACAATTTTAAACCATCAAAATGACATGTTAAAATATAAATTTCAAACTGTCAAAATTACTTTTTTGACTTTCCAACTCGATCAGAAAGTTTTGTGATTTCATAATAAAAGTGGTTTATAATTAACAAAATTGGTGAATTATCATCGAATTGAAATATATCAAAATGTCAATGTTGAACTGTCAAAATTACCTATTAATATTTTCTATAACTCCAAATGGACAAAGATTATTTTCAATTAGTTAACTCTCAAATCAACCGTTTTCGCTCTGTCAAAATTACGTTTTTCAGACGTTTTAATGAATTCAAAATTGTTAGCGCCTAAAAACTCAATTTGAAATCAACAAAATGATATATATGTTAAAATTTTCAATTTGACATCTTTAAATTGTCAAATATTGTTTTAAATCAATCAAATCCTGAAAAGAATCATTTTGGGGGTTTATAAAAGAAATTTTTATCTGTTTGTACCAGATCAAAAACAGTTTGACTTTTCTGCAAATAGAAAATGATATTAAAAGTGTATTAGGAGTAGATAATTGCATTTTAGCAATTTAAAATAACAAATAAAAGAAACTAGCAGCTTGGCCGAAAAAGTAGATAGTTTAAATGAAAACTTTCAATTCCGAGCTGTCAAAACGACTTTTTTATTATTTTCTTAGAACTTAAAATCTCATGGCTTGACATTTTCACACTTTTTTCCGCGTCTAGAAAACATAGTTTCGACCATTTTACAGATTTAAAATTATGTTACATCAGAAACGTATTAGAAACATGAAAATTGCATTTCAAAACGTCAAAATGACAAAAATTAGTAGCATCAAATAGTTGTAAAAAACAACATTCGTATTTAATGTCACACTACCGTAAAATATCAACAATATTTGACAGAAGACAGTTTTAGCTCACAGATGACACTATTATTTGACACATATGAGTATTATTTGACAGATGACAATTTTAATTAACATATATGACACTATTATTCCACAGTTGACAGTTTTATGTGTTTTATATACGCGTTGAAAAACAAAGTTTTGACCATTTAAAGATCGATAATGATATTACACCAACAGAAATATAAATATTAGAAATATAAAAATTGCGTTCCAAAACGTTAAAATTACATAAATAAGTAGCTTAATGACAAGAAAGAGATAATTGTATGCAAATTAGTTAATTTCAGTTTAGTAATGTGTTTTATCGATGATTTTTAAGAGTTTCCGAAGATATTATCGCGAAACAACAAAATAAAAAGAACAGAATGACATTTGACAGAAGACAGCTACTTTATTTGAAAGAACAGTTTTATTTGATTGGTGAAGTATTACTTGATAGATGACAATATTATTGACAGATAACATTATTTGACAAATGAGTTTTAATTGACAGATGACACTATTATTCCACATTTAACAGTTTTACGTGACAAATGATAGTATTATGTGACAGTTTTATATACGCGTTGAAAACAATATTAAAACAGGCATTAAAATCATAAAAAAAAATTCAAAACGTGAAAATTACACGAATGAATAGCATAATGAGAAGAAAGCGATAATTACATGAAAACTTTTTAATTTCAGTTTAGCACTGATTTTCATAGATGATATTGAAGTTTCCGAGCACAAAATCGTCAAACAATGATAATAAAAGAATTTATAAACAAAAATGTTAATACACTAACCCAAAAAATGATGCGCAAAAATACTAACGCCGCAGAGTTACTGTGCGCAGGCAACATTACCGCCCCGAATTATCTCTATTCGAAAAAAAAATAACATTATTTACCACCACCAATATCTCCCGCGAATCCCTCCTCACGTATTGGACATTCTACACAATGCGCGCGCCGCTCCCGCTCTATCCCTTTACAGGAACTGCGCGATCAACAAGGAGATGACGATTCCGATGAAGAGCACCAGAAAGGCGTACACGTAGATCCAGTACTCCTCGGAGAAGCTCAGCATCTGCCACATGGAATGATAGAAGGACCGGTGCTTGTGAACAGAATGGGCGAGGGGATTGCCGCCGGAAGACGAGGCTGATTTCGCCGAGGTGCCGCCCGCCGGTTCCAGAGAGGCGGTGGTGAAGGTGACCGAAGGAGACGGGGGACCGGGAAGCTCGCCGGCGGACGTCAGACGGACGGGACATACGCGGGCGGCGTACTCGGTGCCCGGCTCCAGATCCTCGATTGCGTATTTACATTCGGAAGACTTGCAGACCTGCAATAGAAAAAAATAAATAATTTATTAGAGTTACGTCTGTTTTACTTGATTGGCGGAATTTTGTTCGAAAACCTTTAGTTCGAAAATACGTTTGTTCGAATGAGAGGTTGTTCGAAAATACTTTTAGTCAAAAACGTTATGTTCGAAGATACTTTTAATCGAAAAATATTATTTCAAACAGCACTTGTTCGATTTTTTTTTTTGAATCCTAATGTAAAATATATTAAAGAAAATAGAAATATTGTCTTAGTATTCTAAATAAAATTAAAAAAATAATAACCATTTTACCTAACTTTGTGGTCTAGACCAATGACATATATAGTTTAAATAGACTGCTTATCCATACTTAAATAAAACGATGAAAATCGGGTCGAACTGGGAGATGTTTTCTCTTTGTCTAGTGCATGCAATGTTTGTGTTTTGTCTCAATTTTGAGTTCTCACTGGTAAACAAAACTTTCACAGGACCGGTTTTAAAGAAAGTTTAGTCTAGTTGAGATTTTGTTCTCATTGTCATTACTCAGTCGGACATTTTGTTGAGTTGTTTATTTTATTTAGTTTTAATTATACTTATGTTCTGTTTTAAATTTTTTAATTATTTGAGTATAAAAACTTGTTTTGTTTTTAAATTTAAATGTTGAATTGCTCTATAAAGGGTTGTAAGACCAGCTACAGAAATATAAAAAGTAACATTTCATTTTTCACGCAAGTATCAATACAAGTAGGTACAAGGTAAATAAGTTTATAATAATTTTATGAATTATAATCAATTATAATAATAATATTAATAATAAAGTATTTATTGTAAATACAATTACATAAATATTATTATATTCAAAGGCCCGAGTTAGAGCTATCTGGGCTTTACAAGTACATTTTAAAATTTAGTTAGATACAGAGAAGTGTCGTATAATAAAAACAATATAAATAGAAGAAAAACGGACATAAGTACCAATACAGAGAGACAAACACTTTTATTCTTTGATAGGTTCTTTCTATGTGAATTCTAGCTCTGGCAATTTTAGCATTAAGTAAAGCCTCTTGATGGCTGAACTGATTTTTTTTATTGAGGAAAGGAGGCTGTATAATTTGTATACCTTCAGCTTCTGGTATGTTTCCAATAAGAAAACCTTTGTTAAACATTTTACTATCGAGAAATGATTCACACACTTCAAGTATTGAACTTTGTTAAAAAATGTCTATTTCTGAAGTTCTACCACCATATACTTCACTTTTGTAAGTAATGAGACCAGTAGGTGACACTCCAGTCAAATATTTTAATAGTATGCCTCTTTTTGTAGTCGAGAGTAATTTTTTAGCCTACAACAAAGACATTTGGCTTGCTGTATTGGGATTTCGGAACAATCAAGTAGTACTCTTACATAGAGGCACATTATTTAATATTTCTTGTTTTGAAAGCCGAATTATACCATACTAAGAACTTCTAACAGTTTTATTAAAAAATGTTAAAAAATTTAATAATAAAAAGTTTCATTCACTCCAAATAAAATGGATAAGACATTATATCTTGCATATCAGTTTTCAACTTCATAAAAGTAAATATAACTTGATCCTTTACAGACATAACTGATCTCCTTTTTCCTATTCTTTAGAAACAACGAATTCCACAATGGTGGCTAATAACTGGAAGGATTGCAATCCTATTAAAGTAGATAGTTCTTTAGCACTGACAATTCTGTTTGAAAACGGATCAACTAAATCACCACTCTTCACTTGTGTTGAACAATCGATCCCAATTTTCTGTTTTTAAACGGTTTTGTAAATTAAGCAAAGCTCTTCAGCAGCACACAAATCTTCATTATCTGCTTCAGTAGTAGATATATATTCATTAACTGCAAAAACACATTAAACATAATAATTAACCAAACATTTTAAATTATGCATACGTACATCCATTGCCTGAAGAAGATAACTCAACACTTAACATTCTACTAGTACTGGCAACATATCATTATTAAAGACAGTAGCCATAATTCTTGTTTTAGCTGGATTACTTTTCTTTTTATTAATAGTCGCTTTCTTTTTACCACTAATCTGAGCTAACTTACATCGACTAAGCTTAGTTGTACGTTCTTTTTGTGATTGCAAGTCAGAATCTTTCTTTCCCCCTTACCGATGCTAAACGGATCTTGACGTCAACTAAGATTGCACTTTGTACCTAGTTCATTTTACTATGTTGTTTATCAGATTTCCACTGGTGGAATCTTATTATTATTTATCAAATCATTCACATTCACCGCCAAAATAATCCTTAATTGTCTAATGGGAACAAACTTGTGAAAAATGTGAAAAAGCTACTAACTTTTAGTAAAATCTTTAAAAAGTTTATTCAATTTTTGCATAATATCTGCTTTTATAATGCGAAATAAATTTTAAAAGAATAATCAAGTGTCCGAATAGTGCCACTATACAGTGGTCGTGGTCTAAAGTTAGTTAGTGTAAAATTGTTTATATCTACCTTCAAAATTGGTTAGATCTCTTAAAATGTTTTGAAAATTGGGAAACTAGACGATATGACTCAAAATCCGTTTTTAAAATATCTAACGCAAGCTCCTGTCTAGAAATAAACATACAGATATTTTTTTTTTTCAATTCCTACTTTGATGAAATACGAGTTTTAAACTCATTTGGGCCAGACCGATTCTGCCTGGTGAGCACTCGGCAAGCCAAGCAATATGACCCGCTTTTCGTCGTCTTGTTTATATATGGATGAGCAGTCTAGTAATCTATATATGTCATTGGTCTAGACTCATCGCAGGTTTCTACGCAAAAAAAATATACAAAAAATAGGAAAAATAAAAACAAAAAAAACTAAACTGACTGACCTAACTTATGGAGATTAGCAAAAAAAATACAGTAAAAAACTAGTTTTTTTATTGTCGACCAATTAAATTTAAATTTCATAGTATTTTTATTTCAAATGCAATAAATACATGAATTCTAATCATTTAATATATTGTAGTTTTAACTATTATTTAAATAAGATAGGTTCCCTAGATATTGTTGCAATTCCTCGTTTCCTATACTGTCATCTAACCCATCCACTGTCCTTTTTAATCGCTCATTGAGTGTGTTGTAATTTTTATTTCTTTTAGCCAAGAACTCCCCACTTCCCTCTTTCGCAATTTAAATAAAAGTTAAATTTTGTTCTTTTTTAAGGGCTTTTATAAATTTCCAAATGGAAGGATTTTTTGCTTTAGTGTTAAAAAGCCACTGTTCCATTCCTCGACCTCGTAAGGGCTGTTTCATTTTTAATGTTATTATAACAACTCCACATGCTGTGCTGGAATTTTGGTTTCTTTCGTAATCTTCTGTCTAATTTTCTTCAAAATAATTCACTAAATCTTGACATTTCTTTTCAAATAAGTTTTGTTCCATAATTAAATTAAAAGATCTTACAATACAATTTTCAGGTAGAAATGCTATGGATTGTAAAAGTTTAACGTGTGAAAATTCAACAACGGTATCGTACTTTTTTTAATCCACATTTTTGGGTTTTTCGATATAAGCATTGCTTGAAATGAAAGAAGCAACCATTATGTCGAACTGCAGGATACAGTATTTTTATTGTATTTATTATCACAAAGTCTGTCATTATCCCTAATACTTTTTCTTGTCCCTGTAACATGTATTTTATTTCGTGAACATTCTAACTTTATTAGGTAATAAAGCATAAACTAGTGGCATCACTGAATTATTTAACACACCGTGTATTACAAATAGCTGACAAAATATATTTGATACTGCCTTAAATGTTCCGTCCATGTACCAGTACTCTTAAATTTTCATTTGTCGAAAATATGAGGAACCTCTCACCAACATCATTTTCGTCTTGAAAGGAATCATACTGCAAACACTTTTCAGACTTATCAGTAAACTGATATTCTTCCGGTAAAACTATATCACTTCTGCTTTTTGGAAGAGCTGGATAGTTGTTTTCTTTTTTCCTCAAGCTTCTTATTGTTTTTTTAAGACTTCGAAGTGCAGGCAAACGTGCTAATACTGGCGCACTTGTTGAAGCAGTGGCCTCTGCTAATATGCCCTGTGGAGTTTCTATAGTAGTTCGTGCCTTATTTCGAATATCTTCTAATATAGTTTTAACTCCTTCTTTCTCTGACCGTCCACTGTGATTGTGTAATCCCTTTATAGTCTTGTCTTGGCCTCTTGTAATGATTCTTCCCTTACATCATTTTTTTATCTCCTCGCACTTCCAGTAAGTAGTAACTTTATTCTGTCGGTCCTTAGCGTAAAAGCACCCTTCAAAATAGAGAATATCTTTCCCAAATTTACTCTTCATAGAAGACATTTCGTTGACATATTTTAAGCGTGATTTATTGTTAATTGACATTCAACCATAAAAAATGTATTGACATTGTCATATTATAATTTGTTTTGAAGTGGCGGCATATGGCTTAACTATAGGCTTAACTAATTTCGGGTTATATATGAGAAAAAATAATAAATAAATAGTCATAAAGACTAGAAAAGTTATACCTTCTTTTTCCTCTTTCACTAGAACGCAGACCACTGAAATTTATTTTTTTAATGTAAGATATCTTACAAACAATCTTAAAAATGTATATTAAGACAAAAATAAATTGAAAGAAAATGTTATCGATCAAAAGAATTTTCGAACCACAGTTTTTCGAACCACAGTTTTTCGAACAAAACAATTTTCGAATTTAGGTTTTTCGAACAAACGTGTTTTCGAATTAAGGTTTTTGTAAAAAAAAAATTCGAACAACGCGTTTCAAACAAAATTCCGCCAACCGTTTTACTTAAATATCCGACAATCGTGGTGGTCTACTGGAAGCTAAAAAGCCTATTAATTCAAAATAAGTAACAACAATAATTGTCTTTCTGTTAGAACCACCAGCCAAGAGATGTTCGTTTGTTTTATTCAAATTAGTATGTACAACAAAAAAATCATTATGTATTAATTTTTATTTTACAAATCTATGGGGTCTGATCTGGTTATATACCAGAAAAAAATTACACATTTTAGGAACGATTTTATTTGTTCCAATCTTTTTTTATTTGACAATACAAACATATTTATAATAAAAACAGTCTGTACGAGTATTGTACAAGGCTCCTGATTAATTTGCCTCTATCACTTACGTAGCATATAACCACTTGGACTTGCTTGTTTTTGTTAACGCTGTGGCGTAACGCAGTATATTTAAGTTGAATTCTTATCAACGCTAACAGTACCATGTAACACATACAGGACACGTCCAAAGAAGTGTTCCCAAATCTGAGTACATAATATGTTTAGACTAAAATTAATTTAACTAATTTCTGAATAATTATAGTAATTAACGCATCCAAGTCTAAATTAATGATTTTTTGTCATAAAAAATTAAAATTTCAAATAACATCTAAGGCAGTTTCGAGAATATCTGGGGAAATTATTCCGTATGTAACCGAAGCAAAAATCTAGGCCTTTACTTTGATAAACATGTTAAATTCAATACTACAAAAATGCCAAGGTGCATTAAGATTAATCTAACAGATTCATTCTTCGAGATAAATAGTTGAAAGCGAAACTTTGTCAAAGCTTAGTCATATCTAAACTTACGATATCATTATTAACTACTCGTGTTTAACTGCAATAAATCATCATCGGTTACCAATTATGCAAAACACATGCTGTAGATTCGTCAATGGTCTTAGAAAGTTTGATCATATCATATGTGGTATTCCGCGGACTGTCGACAAAAAAGGGAGCACTACGGAACGTCTAAACCTTGGAAAGATCTAGAACAACTCAACTTCTACAAAAATTTAATTCAAAATTTTAATAGAATAATCTCGAAGAACCAATTCCACAAGACGATTTGCCATGTGAATATGCCGAATAAATCTATTTAACTGTTTAAAAAATTAATGTTAAAGCAAGGTACTATGTTTTTATGCAATAAATATTATGTTTTAGATGACATATCTGCTCGAATTTTATTTCCAAACACAAAGTTGACATCAAAACCTGCTATATGAAATTTTTGCTCACTGCTTACTCATTTACCTTATAATTTTATGTTGATTTTTTATGATTACAACATGTACTTATTGCATACCTATTAGTTCTGGTAAAAAGTCAAAACTTAATCCTAACAATTAGATTAAAGCCATTAATGTCGAGAGACTGTTGTTTTATAAAGCTGTTCATCGTTTAACATATTAATAATGTTAAAATGAAGATGATCAAAAAATAAAATATTCAAGTAGTTTATTAATGATACAAAATTTATAAATTGGTCCAAACATTTCACTGCATCTTTGTCACTAGATTTAGGTATAGGGATAACATAAGCAGTTTCCATATATCAGACAGATATTTATATAAAATTAAGAATACTGGGAGAGGAAAATGTTCAACAAATTAGTAGGAATATGATCGGGGCCTGCTGTTTTATTAGGCACATTTTAATTTTTTTCTATAGGTAATTCTATATTCATCAATGTGATAGTTCTTTATGTGATGTTTATTTCATGTAGAAATTATTTAAAATTATCAGTATTAAAAGATGACGAAAAAAGAAACATCATTACCTTCCAGTAGTCCGCCACAACGTTATTACGAATCAAGTACTTACCTGTTTGAACACCTGTTCCTTCGTTCGCGACACCTGTACCCGATACACCACGGAATCCGTGAAGCTATTTTTGGCCGGGAACCATTCGATCGAACAGGTCCGTTGATCGACTTCCGCGATTTTGGGAGCTTTGAGGGCGGCAGGCGGCGCCACGTTTGTACTGAATTCGTAGTCGTCGGAAAATTCTCCTACGCCAGCGTCGTTGGCGGCGTTCACCCTAAACCTACAAACAAGAAAAACGAAATTGTTATGTTTCTATTATTAAATAATAATAATAAAAATAAAGGGGGGTGGGTGGCTCAGTGGTAGAGTCTCTGCCTGTGGATACAAGGGTCCCAGGTTCGAATCCCACCGTTGGCCGGAATTTTTTCATTTAATTTAATTATTTAAAATTAATTCTGATGCCTTGGTAGGATTCCCCACTCGACCATTCACTGTTGGGTTCTAATTAACAGTGCTGTTCCTAAAGTGGCGCTGGGAAACAGTAACAAAGCCTACGCAGAACACGAGGCGAGATAACCTTAGCAGTTGAAGCCGATAACACACCAAAAAAATAAAAAAAATAAAAATAAAGATCTTTAAAGCATTATCAAGAAACCAACAATCAAGAAACATCAAATAAATTTATAAAAGATCATAATCCAAAGAACTTTACCAAAAACATTATCAAAAAACATTAACAAAAACATTATCAAAGAATATTTTCAATTAACATTATCAAATAACATTATCAAAGAAAATAACCAAAGAAACATTATCAAGTAACATCAAGAAAAATTATCAAGAAACATCAGAAACATCAAGAAATATCAAGAAACATGGAATAAATTTATCAGAAATTTATCAAAGATCATTATCAAAAGAACTTCATCAAAGAACATTAACAAAGAACATCATCAATGAACATTATTGTTATGTGAGCCATTTCATTATTCAGTCATGCTCTAACCCTACAAATCCCTCTCTGTCTTATTTGGCCTTTGAGGCTCAACTTGTCCGATTATTATACATAATTAAACCCCTTAAGACCAAACCTATGGGACGACAATGGTGGAGACACTTTCGCGAACATTCCAGGGTCAACGAGATACTATTTTTAGAACGTGATAACGTTTCTGGTACATACTGGCAATTTTGGCGGGGGAGCATCCAATTTGTATATAAATTGGTGGAGGAGAGCCATCAGAATCAGTAGTTATATGGACAGTGAAGATAAATAGTAATTAGTAGATAGACAGTGGTGAATATAAATAGTGATCAGTTTAAAGACATTTGAAGTATATATAAATTAGAAATAGTTGTGTTATAAAATAAATAGTGTTTAAATAAATTATTAATAAATAAACTGTTGTTTGAAAATAAACAAACATTACATTATCAAAGAAGATTATTAGAGAACATCATCAACGAACATTATCGAAAAATAGTATTAAAGATAAGAGATGACAATTTTTTATTGCCAACACCGTAAATAAAGTTCAAAGAGTTCGGGATTGCATGACAACATAACAACAGAACTTTTTTAAATAGAAGTAATATAACCGAATATGACTATCCAAAGAACATAAAATTAAAAGTTTTTAAACAATATCAATTTTGTACTAACCTGTATGTAGTAGATTCGTGCAGCTTGTTCACTTTACAAGTAAGAGCTGTACCTTTGTAAACACACTGATAATCACCCGAACGAGGATTTTCCATTTCTACACAGTATTGCGTATATTCGGTGTTCTTTCCTTCGCCCCACTTCAACTTCACGTAGTTGTGAGCTACTCCCAAACATTCTAATCTGTAAAAAACAACAACATTTAACGACATTACTGTAAAATATCAACGACATTTAACATATTAAGGCATGTTCTTTTATTCAGAGCTATATGCAACGCTTGCAGCAAACCGTTCCTAAATTAATCGATGGAAAGACGATTGTATTGCCGTGCTAAGCACAAAGGTGGTAACTGTAATAAACTTGAATTCGAGAAATTTAGATATTTCGATGTGTCAACTTTGTGGTTCTGAAAATCGACATTATAAAGTTCCAGGTGTGACTGTTTATAATCATTTTGAAAGATAATGCTTCAATTTTTTGAATTTTTATTCAAAATAATTAAAGATTTGATATAAAAATCATAATCTTTTCAACTTACCACTTATTAATCTATTTTTTCAATTGTTTATTACTACAGCATATTGCCGTATGTAATTAATGATCATTCACATTTATTTTATTTTTGTTTTATAAATTAAAATCTTTACTAACGAGGTACTAGTTATAATAATTAAGCCGACCCTGTGTCTAAAGCAAGCGCGACCTTCAGCTGAGTCGGGCACCTGCTCGAGGCGACGGAACGTTCAGGAATGCCGCTGATGCACTAGAAACGGCTAGAACGGGCGGAGAGTGCCATTAAGTCAGAGATGGAATTTTCGGGACCGTCTAGAGTATTCTGGTTACAGAGTTGGCTTGATATAAATATCGCGAGTATGAAGACGGTAGTCAGTTGATTATAGACAGTTTAGTATAAAGTGTTAGACAAGAAAAGTTAAATTGTAATAAATACATTAGAATTGTTAGTTAGTGTCTAAGTATTATATAAATTAAATAGTACGTCATAAATAAATTGTAAATAGTGTGTTTTAAATAAATAAACTATAAATAAATTAGACTATTGTCACATTAATTTTTTTATTAAGTAATTTTAAGCAATGACAAAAAAATAGAATATAAAAAAGGAAGGAAAAAATAAAAGCTACAGATGATAATTGAATTGCATAACATTAAATTTGTCAGTAATATCAGTTTTCAGTACTTTAATCTTCTACTTCATCGTTATCATCTTCACAATAATTTTTCGCTAAATCTTCCCAAAATGTTAACCTAGTTTTTGGTATGATACCATTTGAAGGCTTTTTTGTTCTTTGGAAATTCCGTTAGTCGTCTTTTTCTTATTTAGTTCTAAAATACTGTCTTTAATTAATTTCACCTTAAGTAAATTAACTATTTTGTAATGTGGGTTCTTAAATGAATTTTTATAAAATAACGCCAATCTTCTCTTTCCTACTTTAACTTTTAACAAATTTACTAAAGCATTTTTGACGTATCTAAAGAATACTAAGGGTTATGGACGTATTTGTTTTCAAAAACAATAAAAAAACCTTAGTTTTTTGCAGATACGGCATTTTAACGTAAGTATTTGAGGTAGAAAAGAAAGTTACGACTATTTTTATAGACCTATTTCAAATAAAATATTGCCATTTTATTTTTAATAACTTAAAAATATTGTTAAAAATTGATAATTTAATGTATTATAATCAAAAACTCATTTTTCTTAAAAAAGTCAGTTACCACCTTTGTGCTTAGCACGGCAGTGTATGTGTCAATCGTTCTTTTTTCCAGCGGTGAGTTCACCACTTAGCCAACGCATCCATCGGCTTTAAAAGCCGATAGATAGATGAATGGAGAGGATAGTTAATTAATTTGTTTGAACGTGTAAACACGATTATTTAGCTAAAAGTTAACCTACAATATAAGAGTTTAAATATAAAACGGCTGAAGAAAAGTTACTGTTAATTAAAATTAAAATATGTTTCGGGTATGGTCCGTTACTAACTGAAATATCGGTTACTTGGTTCAAAACTAACCGCTTTGAAACCTGAAAAATCAGTTAATTTAAGGACGCGGTTACCTTAAAGTGGTGACTTACAAGTCGAATGTCAATCTGTCACAAAAGTGAGGTAAATCTCGACCGTGGTCCAAATGTAACCAAGACATTATAGCGGATTCGACTGGCTGCATTAATGCGCACTTAGTTCGACTTTTTTAAGTGGCGTTTGTTTGAATATCAGAACCAAATTAATTCAAAGTCAATTATTGCATTCGACTGGAATTTCTCGGTACCAGGCACATACTTTGATTTTCTTTTACTATACGGAGAATGGTCGCACTGCGCAGCTTTCCGAGTGCCTTTTAAATCTCCGAGCAATTACTAATAGAGGGAGCGTGGAAACGAGTTTGTAGGCGAATGTTGTGTTAGCAACATCTGTAGAGGAAGTGAGGAAGCGGGCACAAGGGGGAAGGTAAACATCCTTCTTGTTCAGTGGCGTATCATTTATCTATAAAAACACACATTGTCCAAACGTTTTAATTGTAAAAAAAAACTAAAAATTTTGCTAATTTTACTATTTTTAAAATGAATACCGTCTTATGTGTGTCTAATGCAGGAAAAGAAACAAAATCACTGTAAAGGTCTAATTTTTTCAATTGAAGAATAAAACCTTAAAATCAATTTTATTATAAATACAGGAGCGACTAGTTTCGGCCTTACAGGAACATCTTCAGGCCTGTAATACAATATTCTTTAATTATTATAATAGGTTGGTCACTTACGAATAACATTAAATAGTATAAACCACATAAATGGATCCATATTGTAGCGTTACAGCATTATAGAATTAAAGCTGTGAAAATAAAAGAGCAGTGCAAACGTAACTAAAAATAAGAAAACTGAGTACGGAATCTACAAGAGAAGAGGTGAGAATAAGCAATTATGAATGCATTTAAATTGCTCGGGATAACAAATAAAGCTGATAATGTAGTGGTATAGTCCCCGTCAAAGGTCTGGATATGTTAAAGAGGACGGCGTTTTCTCTATAAATCTGGAGAATGTAAGGATGGAGGGAAGACGAATCTTGCTGGCTCAGGTGTAGATGGCTAGAAAAAGGAGCGTGTAGATGAAAGCTCCAGTAAATATCGTCACTTTCGTCTAATTTTTATTCTCACTCACCGTTTCGCCTTTATCTTCGAAATTCATTTTTAAAAGGAAATAAAAGTAATCATTCATACAAGCATATAATAAAACAACATGAATTCATTATATTTAATAAGCTAATAAATGAAAAAAACATATATGTGAGTATAAAAAATATATAAATAGATAAGATTAATATCAAAATCAATTTGAAAATACAACAGATAATAAAATGAAATGAATTAATACAAGTACAAATAGAAAGTTAATAACATACCTTCTAAAAGTAACACATTTTAGGTAGATAAATGTTTAAAGAGTTTATTCCTGAACATAACTAATCTAACGTTTTTCCCCTTTTTAATATTATGAGGGTTTTTGTAGTTGAAATGAAAATTATAATTTATTTTGGTCCTAATAAAAATTTAAACATAGGTTATCAAAGAGTAAAATTCATAATAGAACTTCATAATCTTAAATCGTTATCAAAAATTATCATTGGTAAAACTTCAAACAATAATTAGATTCTTAAACAAATTTCTAGTTTTTGTTTTGCAAAAGACTTTTTTGCCTTCTTCGGTTGCCTCTGCCACTTTTCTTTTAGTAGTTTCGAGGAGAATTTTCCTATGGAAACCAGTAGAACCATCAATTGGTTGGTAAAATTTTGATATTTTGAGTCTGGTAAGTCTTGTTAAACTTTCTTCTTAGGAAGCTATAACCTTATGGAGAATAAAAATTTAATGTTAGATCAAAAGCTCTTAATTGAGAATTATATTTGCAAATGCCGTTTTAATAATATTTTCAAAAGTTCTTGGAATCGTTGTTAACAGAAACCTGCAAAAAATATATAATTTTATTCCTAAAATATAAGATATCACACAATGCACATTCGTATAATATCATTGTGCTAGAAAAATACTAGGTAGTTACTGAGACAATTTAAAAAAAGTATTTCGAGAAACTCAACTTTTAATGTCATCATTGTACTTAACTTTTTTATTGCTAAATTATTAATAATGTCATTTTGTGTAGTTCGTTGTGATTTTTATAATATATATTATAAAAACCTATTGTCAATGTTAATGTGCCAAGTTTTTTTAATAATTATGTCCTTGTTATAGTAAAAACACATTTAAACACATTTTTAAAGTTTTCTGGATTTCTGCTTTAAATTATCGTACAATTGAACTGACTAATTGTGTGTTTAAGTAAAGGTATATCTCTTTTTTGTTATAACAGTCTTTGTATATTGTTCTAACTTTTTAGATAATCAGAGAAAACAGTAAGACATCTTAATATATCCTATTTCACCAACAAAAATGTAGAATAATTAATCTCACATCAAACGAAAAAAGTAATTTTAGGATGTCCTAATAGGTTTTAACTTAAAAACTAAATAAAATGTATATTGCAACTGTGTTTAAATAAATGAATGTTTTTATACCTGACTATAGCAACAGACAAACATTTTTTTAGATCATAATGATCTGCATAACTCAAAATAGTCAAAATCCACATTATTTAAGTTGTTCTAGTATTGTTTTAGCATAACGATGTTAACTCCAATAATAAATATTCACATTTTTTTGGGACGTTTTTTAAGGAAATTAAAAAAAACATGAATAATGTGATATTCTTGTTTAGTTTTGTACTATATAATATAGTTCATTAGGTAGTGATTTAGAAGCAAATTATGTTCGATTTATAGAATGAAAAATTACTTATAATATCTAAATATTTATACCTATTTATATTTTGGACAGGAAGACTATTTTATGTTGTTGGTTTCGAATACTTTTCTTAAGAATTTTAAAACCTTCCTTAGCTCTTTTGGGATATTCCATGCATATCTTAGAAGTTCATTTTGTTTAAACCTAAAACAAATTAAGTACAAAAAATGAACATTTAAGCAATACACAAAATTAGTCTTTTAGATTAGTTAAAAAAAAGTGTCAACAAAAAAATAGCTATGCCTTTTTCCTTAAACATTATTTTTGAAAGAAACTTAAGTTTCTCTACTTACTTACTGTTTTAGTATTTTAGT